CCAGAGGGTACCCCCGGAGCCACATCGCATCCGAGCCGTCTTGCGTGCCGCATCGCATTTCTTGTGGCATTTGCGTCACGAACCACCGTCTACCAAGCACCGGTTGCGCGATAGGGTCGACATAGCATTCCATAAAGTGGAGAAGGGGAACGAGCTGGACAGTAGCTTGCGCAAGATGTGGAAGCCGTCCAGTGGCAATCTGATCGTGTCGGGCGCAGTTCAAGTCGCTGCCGATAACGAGACCGCATATGGAATGACGTTGCGCAACAACTGGGAAGCTGCCCTGCATGTTTGGATCTTCTATTTTGATTGCAGTGACCTATCTATCGGTGAGTACATCTAGTAACATCTCATTACAGTGCACATCCTGACTAGATGCAGTGGAGTACTACAAGCCACCAGACTCGGGCCCGGGGGGACGTGGCGAGGCCACGCTGCTAGCGGGAAAGCAGCTGCCGATAGGGTATGGGTCGGGCGGTGCACGACCTTTCAAGTACCATCTTGAAGGAGCACATTCAACTATGCTGGACCAGGACGTCGGCTTCATCAAGATATATGTTTCGAACGGGAAGTTCGACCTCAAAGAGATTACCCAGCTGTCACCGTTCCAAGCCCTGGACCCTCGTATCACCGGATTTGTGGATGATGACACCGAGATCTTGTGGGATGCCGTTCTTATTCCAGTCGTACAGGTTCGACCTCAAGCCGATGGCACCGGGCGTACGTAGTTATTCTGTCGTGCTATGGCCGTATTATGTCCCCTATGTACGCAGACTCAATTTCGTCATGAGAACTCGGCTTATAGAGTGTCAATGTGTTCGTCGATCGCGGTGCGATCTTACCAATCGAGATACAGACGGCCTGTCATAGCATTCCGTAAACAATATGTATGGTGATTTGGTACTAGATAAGATGATTCATGACATGCAGTTACGAAAAGTGGGCAGGATGAGCGCAAACGAGACAGCGGGTGGGCTAATCTACAAGCGAGCGGGTAGAGCCCATGCCACAATGGAAAAATGTACCCTTGACACACAAGGTAACGATGACGGACTACATAGGAAGTCTGCTCAGAATCACGATGCCGATAGGTCGTGCAAAACGGCGTTTACTACGATAGAGCGCTGATAGCCAGCAAGTTTGACGAGTAAATTTTATCCGGACTCCGAGGCGTGTACAGCCTGCAAGGTCGGCCGGCGAGCTAATCTTGATGTGACGATCAGCTGCAGGTAGGTTCTTCGGCATGCCCAAGCCCGACTCCTTTGACAACGGGCGAAATTTTGACTAGTTGCCTATATGAACAGTCAGAACATGCGATGAGGCAACCATGAGATCCGACCAAGGTACTTACACAGGCAGCGGGCGAGGGAAGGATTCCTCGCGGTCTTCTACAGGGGCCGGTTATGGGAGAGGGAGAATGTACGGATTGCATGAACTGGTCGTCGTCCTGGCGGGAATGATAGCATGTAAGATACAACCATCACATCAAGTCGTCGACCGGAGTCCTCTCACCAGACTTGAGCTCGGGCGATGAAGGCAGCCTGAGTACTGTACAGTAGAGTGTGAACCGCATGCATCCAGATGACACAGAGCACGCGGGCGAAGCTGGTGGGGTGGGGCGAATGGACATCGCCATTGGGCGTGTGCGGCGGGCGCAGCTTCCGTGAGGCCGCTGCGGCGCTGAAAGCCGCGGGTCAACTAAGTTCGATGTCCGTTCCGCGCGACAGAGCCGCGGACGGCTTCTTGACGTGCTGCATGCATTTGAGTATTGCGTGGATGGGAGAGTGCCAGCTGCGACGCACTTGACGCGACGCGGCCGGGGGCGTCTTCACGCGGAGCGTACTGCGGATGCCAAATCGAAAGGCTATACTATGAACATAGCCATGAAAGGCTCAGAAATGGAAGGAGAGGCGCGGCGCGGAAGGGTGGGCGCGTCATGTCGGGATGATGGTAGCACGAGACAAGACCGAAGGCGCAGTTCGCGTGACAGCGCGCGACGCGTCTCGACGTCGTGCGACACCTCTCCGACGCGACTTGGACAGCTTGTACACGTCTACGATCTGACTTCGCGTGTCTAGACGTGCAAATCAAGTGCACCCTGATGAACTGCGTCAAGTCGTAAAGCGAGCCAAAATGCCTGGCTGTCTCGCACAGTAGTCAGCCGCAACCGTGTAGAAGGCTGACCGTTTATGCAGACAGACTAACGCCTCGACGGCTGGGAATATAGATACGGTAACCCAGTGCGTCTGGCTGCATAACTCCCGCCGGCACACGCCAAAAATCCGTCCGCTGCTAAGCTTATGTGTGCCCGAGGCTGCAGCATGACCTACTTGTTGCAGAGGCCTCCCATCGCAGGGCTTCGAAGGCGCCAGTTCTGACTTCTTTCCGAGCCACAAGGCGCCCGCCGACCCGCGGCCGCTTTCGGTCTCCCACTTTCGCTTTGACCGCAGATGGTTTCACAGCCGAAAAAGGCTGAGATCCTACATCTATATGGATGACAATAGCCGCTGAAGTCGGTTTCAGCAGGGAGATGCCTGACGAGCGCATTCGACTCAGATAGGGTAGCGCCTTCGAGCAACTTCGAGTTCACGCGCCCCACGTTGTAACCAACACCGCCTTCCCGCACCTGTACGCGGTGCACGGACACGCGATCTCATGGTCTCCTCAATCCACCATGAAGGCCATTCTCCCCCGGCACAAACGGTTCAAATACTTCAACTCTTCCCCTAGCTCGTCTTCCCCAGTCATGGAAACACCTGGGTACGAGTCGCACGCTGGTGATTCTCGGGACATCGATGGCATCTGGCAGGACGCTCTTGATCAATACCGCAGATCTCTGCCTCACGACCTCAATAAACTGAGCGAACGCATCCTGGGCGATCTTGAGGCCTGCCTGACGACCGCACAAATCATAGATGCGCTAGAGAAGACGTCGGAGTCCCTGGACAAGCGACGCAATGGAAATGGACTGCTGTCTCGATTACGAGCAGTTTTAAAGCCATTAGTATACGGTCTAAGCGCCATTCTGGAAGCGATGGGAGAAACAGCATCGACGGTGCGTCCGATCTAAATCCTGACGCTGAAATACTATATAACGACGATGTATTAGCATGTGCCAGGCGGGAAGGGCATTTTTGTGGCTGTGGCAATTCTGCTCAAGGTGCGGCCTGCGCGTTCCTTGTCACAGTTTCCTGTCAACTAAAGATTGGTCTCAGGCCGCAGAAAATGTCAGCGCCGCTTTTGATGACCTGGAAAGGTTACTTCAGAGGCTGCAATCGTTTGTCGAGAGGCTGACTATACGTGTCCATGCACCAATGAAGGACGGTTCACGGAGCGTTGCTGTGAGGGCTTTGGTCAAAACGCTAAAGGCCGTCGATCTGGCTACGCGTTTGATTCAAAGAGGGCGCATGCGTACGTAGCCGAAAAACGTCAATAATGAGGTGTCGCCGTAGTCTCACAACATAATGTCAGGACTATTTGTGCGGGCCCTATTCACTAAGCACGATGAAGTGACGGCCGCCCTCCTATCACTCGAGGATGTCACGACCGACGAGGAGCGCATGACCATTGCAGAATTGTCTGTTGACATGGATAAACTGACTTACGCCGTGCGTGGTGGTGCGCTCGTTTTACCCCATTATATGGCAAAAACCTCCTAAATCGCGACAGTCGAGACATCTGTCTCGAGCTTGCAGGGAATGACGGGAGCGACGCATATGGCTGTAAAAGATATGTACAAGATGATTCAAGAGAGTATGCTACCTATTCCTTGCCAAGCGGGTCCAATCGTTGACCTCCACGCGCTCATAGTGAATAACCGCTTGATGAATGTCCAATCATTCGTGGCGGTCGATGCGAGTCTACGACCGCGTACGTCACTACTTCTTGGAGATTGCATGTGAAACCCCAAGTAAAACTCCATCCTCAGAGCTAGAGACTGTCACGAGCGCAGATACGGCTTCCTCCGCGAGCACACGTCAAGTAGCTACTCTTCGATGCGTGCCTGATTGGTTTTCCTTGGGTCGCCTAATACGTCGCACCGTGGGCAGATTCTGTTCGGAGGATCAAGACATCATCTGGCGTGCATTCGCCACGATATTCACATGGGCCATCGATGCCATCTCCATTGGCGATGGCAACGGTGGTACAGTGCGATCTGTGGCAGTTGTCATGACGGAATACACACAGATCGCCCAAATTACAGTCAGAATGGCTGCCATGTTTCTATTACTATTCATGCTCTGGCGGCTTAGCTCCGTATCTCGTCCTCTTGGACCATTCCCTGACCGAATCACCATAGTTGATGTTCTAGGGGAAGTCCTTGTCCTCGGGCCTGACACCTTTTCCACGTGGGAGGTGGGCATAATCAGTTTTCTGCCTGGCTGTGAGCAGCCAATGCTAAGCTGCGCTCTCCGCCAGAACACCCACACCTTTCTCCTGCAAGCCTTTCAGGGTCGCCTCGGAGCATCTTACGTCAAGAGGCGTGCCTACGGTCTAGGCAATGATGAGCACCCGCTGATCCAACCTCAATCTTGGTCAAGTCTCGTGCATCCTGGGTTAACTTTAGACATGAGCATCATGGTCCGCGAACGTACGCCGCGATGCCCGTATTGCTACGCAGCTAGAAGTGGTAATGAAACCGAAATATATGACGGAAGAATTCTTTGGTATGTGAGATTTGTCTCGTGTACAGCAACTATCTGTGTGATCTCAATACTGATATAGATCAGTTCTGAGATCGGATGCAGGCGCATTTATTCTACCCATATTGACTCGCATACTGACCATGATTCGTTACATGCGTTGAGGTAAATAGTCTCTGGAATTTTGAACATCACTGGTGTGACAACATTGCCTCCACAGTGACAGCCGAGCACCCACTGAAACGCCTCACATGCCGGGCTCGCTCGTTGAAGAAGTCGACTCGCCTTCAGCTGATCCTGTAGCAGATGGAGTTTCGCCACTTTCGTCGTCCCAAATCCAGCCGCTCTCCTCTGAGGCTACTACATCATCGATGTTACTTTCTGGACCATCCGTAGACATCCCCGGCGCACCGAGGACGTCCCGCCTACAGCAAGATATGACCCAGCGCTTCGATACAATCGAAGACACAACTGTAGATCAGATGTCCCCATATCGCAGGATCATTGTTCAGATCGTACAGATACCAGCCCCCGAAGTGAACACGATCTTTGAAATCGGCGATAGCGAAGTGGACAATGTTGTCTCGTGCATTCTCGGGTCAGTCTACATGCAGACTGCACTGAGCGCCCTGCTAAAGTTTGAATAGCGATCCCGCTATACTATCTCGTGGGTGAGTATAGAGCATATTCCTCGACCACCTGTTGCCATTAAACCTCGTTGGGTCCAGTAATGCCCGACCTGAGGAGTCTAGGTTTGTGCTCTACTTCGATATTAAGACTCGGACCAGCCATTCACCTCCGGATGATGCTTCCAGTCTACAGGACTCTTTGATCCAGGCCCTCGTCATCGGTATCGACCAGTACCAAGAAGCGCCACCCATTAATAACCTCACTGGGGCCGTTGCTGATGCGAAGTCCATGTACGAATACCTACACCACGAGCTGAACGTCCCGGCGGAGCAAATCGTCAAGCTGCACAACAAGGATGCAACTCGAGACGCCATCCTGAAACAGATTCGGGCGCTATCCACGCGACGCCGGACCACCAGTTCCAGCCGTTCTGTCCCTGTGAAGAAAGGCGATCCGATAATCATATACTTCGCCGGACACGGCGCGAGCGGCAAAGCACCAGATGGATGGGTTACTGAGACTGGCAATGTCTCCATGCTAGTGCCCTACGACGGCTCCCCGAAGGATGCGTCCCGCAACATTCTCGATCGCACCATTGGTGCGCTTCTGCACGAGCTCGCAGAAGGCGGACAGAACAGCAGCGGTCTTGGAGACAACATTGTGAGGATTCTCATACCATGCACCATGACAACGAGGATGTTCACCACGACGCTAGACTGTCATCTTCGACTGCTGTCACTCTGGGTCCGGTACGCGCAAGCTCGAGCTTGAGCACGCCACCCCACATCTGGAGCGAGGTTTCGAGCTTGACGCGGATACTGTCATCCCTCCAAATCTCGATGAGGACATTTGGGGTGTTGTATATAACGGTCGTTCCACTGACACGCCCTCTGGATTCGCTTTCTCCGGTACGAGGTCCCACGTATTGCTTGCTGCTTGTCGGGAGAGTGAAAAGGCCTACGAGTCCTATTGCCGCGGAATCTTCACACAGACACTGCTCGCCGAGTTGCGCAGGATCAAGACGGACAAAATCACTTATCAAGGTCTCATGCAACGCGTCGTGAAACCAATGTGAGCAATTCCTTTTGAGTGCTCGTCTTAACCATCAGCATCTCATCAGGAATACACAGTTCCAATCAAAACCCGCAGTGCGAAGGCCACAACAGCGACCGTTTACTCTTCGATGCCCTTGCACCGAGTGCAGGACGCACAGTCTACGACTTCGTGAAGAAAGACGACAAATACGTCCTGCACGCCGGGTCTCTCCATGGCGTGACGAAAGGCGCCGAGTTCAAGATCTACCCTTCCCCGGACTTCACAGCCAGCGATCCTCCTTTGACGACTATAGCAGTCAAAGCTGTGAAGGCCTTCACCTGCCGCCCGCGCGATGATGTGCCAGAGCTGCCTTCTTCTCTGCTTTACGCGCACCAGATTAGCATGGGTCAGGCGGAGGCGCTCCGCCTGTACATATCCTCTTCGGACGTGCTTAGACCTGTGATCACGGCCTTTGCCGAGGAGATCCAGCCTCAAAAAGAAGTCGAGAATCGAATTCTGCTGGGCAGTAAAGCTGAAGCGGATATCAGCCTGGAAAGCGAGCCATCCGGTGTAAGGTTCCACGTTCACGACTCGCTCATCAAGAGCTACGGGCTTGAGAAGCTGAGCCAGAGGGTACCCCCGGAGCCACATCGCATCCGAGCCGTCTTGCGTGCCGCATCGCATTTCTTGTGGCATTTGCGTCACGAACCACCGTCTACCAAGCACCGGTTGCGCGATAGGGTCGACATAGCATTCCATAAAGTGGAGAAGGGGAACGAGCTGGACAGTAGCTTGCGCAAGATGTGGAAGC